AAAAGGAATGATTTGAATGACTCTACAGTCTTATAATAAGGAATAAATTTCTTGTTTTTTGGAGTTGTGTTGCAAGTGATGACATGTAAAAACTGCATTTAAAGATGCTTATAGTACGGTAAAGCGGAACTAAGCTGTATCTGAGCACCACATGCTATTTAATTCATTTTTAGATTTTAAAGCAAACTCCCCAATCCATCTATGTCTCCATGCTTTGATTTGTTGAAAAATCACTTTGAAAAACACCCATGGCCATCTTAAGTAAGGGTAGATTATTTAAATAGCATTTACTTCCTGCTATCCATCTGCCCTTAATTTAGGCATGCAGGCAGGCGGGTGTGCTTAGCTGAGAAAACCCTTCCTCCTCACCTTCAGATGAAAGAAAAAAAAATGCACAGGAAAACTCCTGAAACGTACAGCACCATTTTGGTGTAGGTCAGAAACCAGCAAGCAACTGAAAAAAATGTTTAAAACAAGTATATATTATATACTTTCCTATCTATTTACTAATGCTATCAACATAATGATTGAAAATAATTGAGAGAGTTCAGTTTCACTTTATGTAACTGTAAACCGTGTAACGGGGTGGGCTCCCCAGGATACAGTGAAGTCACGAACGAGGAAAGCAACCTCAACACCAGCTTTTGCCACAACAGAATTTTACTTAGATGTGGCAAAGAAGCGCAACCACAAATGCTGGAAACATTCAATAGATTTACATACACCCAGCCCAAAGGCTGAGACCCTTGTGCTGCACAGCACGGCGCCTTCTGATGGATGAAGGTAGAAGGTGTAGTAATTTACCTACTGGCGGGAACAAATAAGCTGCCACACCTTACCCGTTATTACCCTAAAAGAGCAGGAATCAGTGTATGGGTGTACGGTATGGGCTAGCCTGCGGTGCAGCACAACAGCTTACAATCTTACACAAATCTACAGTATTCCCCCTCCCATAACTGGTCCTGTAGCACGTGCCTGAGTATTCCTTCTGATCAAAATGCCAGTCTGGCTTGAGTTTGTAGGATTTTATCAGCTCTCCAATGTGAAATGTCACTTTAAGTTGTGGAGTCCTTCCAATAATCAGTAACAACACTTGTGGCCTGACACAAACAGAGACCCTAACTAACTAACTATAGGCCTGGACTCAGTCTCATGGCGCCAACACTGAAATGAGGTGCGTGCACGATCTTACCGACCCGAGTCTGCTTTACATCCACTGGTGACTCTGAACAGAACAACTGTCTCTCCAACAAGCATGCGGTCTTGCCGTTTATGTTGCTTAGTTCCTCTGCTCTCATCAGCCTTCCTGGCAGCAAACTCATCAGCATTCCTGGGCAGCAATCTCATCAGCATTCCTGGCAGCAATCTCTGGTTACTGAGGGACGCTTTCACACCTGGATGTCATCAGATAGCTCACACGGCCCCTTATTCACCATGCTCCAAAACATGGCTTCTTTCTCTCCTTCCTGTTCTCTCCAACTCTGTGTGCAAAACCCCACCTCTTCATGAATATACAAATATCTATGCAGTCTGAGGCTGTATAGAAAAACAGTGACATCTTGTGGCTAAACCGCAGAATGTCAGTCAAAACATTAATTTACTTCCACACAGTGTTCAAACGATGAGAGCTGTTTCCCCATCTCACATAACCACCAGTTATTAAACAGTCATCACAATGACTAATCCATGTGAATACTTTATCTTGTGTGAGATTGCTTATAATACTAATTACCCATTCTGCACCTTTTTCAGGCAGTAAAGCTGCCTATCTAATATCAGGAGAAGGACAGATAGTAGGGGCACTGTACCTATGGGCACCTTTAGTAATACAGTAAGTTATAGTTTCATTGCAAATGGTATGAAGTTGAGTATCTTTTCTTAGTGGAAAAACTATACAGGAACCCCCCAAAAATACCTTTCAGAGGGTGTGGTATGATTTTTGTGGGGCCCCCGTTTCACTATTTACAAAAACAAAAATGCTTGTAAGGAAATGAATTTAAAACATCTTTTTTCTTTTGGAAATGTCACTTTTACTGCACTAATTTGTTTACATGGTAGAGATATGCCACTACACAGACAGGTTTTGAAGACCTTTCCAAGTAAGTTATTTAATTTTGTAAAGAATAACGCACTATTAAATTCACTGCTGTCTGCAAAACTATATTTTTTAAGAATGTTTGTTGCACGTTCCCAGGACAGTGTGTTGGCAGGTGCAGTTAACTTGCCTGCCACAAACTGGCTCTGTTCCCATTATAGTATGGTAAAGGGAAAGTTGTAATTAGATGTTAGCTCCCCTTTAGAAAAGTCCCTTCTTAGGGGGTGTAGTTACTGCCCATATAAATGCCAATGTATGAGGAGCCTAGGTAGAAGGAACATGAAAGTGAGATACCCCAGAACTGCTAAGGTGTAATCTCCTTCAGAACTAATCTGAAGGGTCCTTTGCAGAGCTGAAGTGCTAGGTGAGGTGGTACAGAACATGGGATGAACTTGTCAGGAATGGACTGGCCAGCAATAGTGGGACTCAGCTGCCTTATGAGCTGCAGTACCAGGGCTGGCCAGCGGGTGCTCCTCCCAGCAATCAGAGACTCAACCTTGCAGCCAGTCAAACACCTGGAACTAATTATACTGGTGTATTTAAGGGACATTCAGACCTGCAGACTCTGCCTTGGTGTTGTGTTTCTCCTGGGCCCTGTATCCTGTTCCTGCTCCCTGTTCCCTGTTCCTGTCTGATTCTCTGCTGACCCTGCTCTGATCCCTGGCTTGTCTGACCATTCTCCTCTGCCTGACCCTCTGTACCACGCTGCCCGCTGCCTGCTGAACCTGGCTTGTGACCCCGACCATTCTCCGCTTGCTCCCCCTGTACCTATACCCGACTGATATTGACCCGGCCTGCCTGACGACGCTTGCATTGTATGTACTGTTATCTCTGGGTGGTTGGTTGGTTTGTTTGCACTGTGTTATGTTTTAGTATTGCACTGCGTTTATGTTTGTATGGTTAGTGTTAATAAATTACATTGTTTATAACATATCTGAAGTCTGCGTTTCCCTGCGTCAGTCACACACCTCTGGTCATACCCGGGAGCCCTGACAGAACTCTTTGTAATCGCCCTGTCTCCCCTGACCTTCTTCCACAGGTCATAAGGCCCTGGAGGCCTCCAATTTGAGTAATGGTGAAGCCTAGCCCAGCTTGTCAAATCAGCCTCTGACCAGGTATTTGACACTTCCCCAATTGTCAGCATTCAATTTTTTTTCTACGCATTGTCAAGGCAGAGCTAATTGTTTGGAGAAATTACAATATTTTAATTCCCCAGAGGCATGTCACTACCAAAGAACAAAAATATAATTTCCCTGCTTCATTATGGTGTTCCACTAAACCCTTCATATTGCGGCAGCATGCCATTAACTGATGGGTTTGCTAGGGGGTGGCTTGGAGGCATTTTCAAGCAAATTTAACCATGTAGTGGAATTAAAGGCTAATTATAACAACACTTTGGTGACAGCTAATTGTGTAATTTCATGGTGAAATCAATTTAGCTGAAATCACTCCACTTTGCAATAGTACGCATGGATGGTGCTGGCCTATTTTGGAGGAAAAGGCAATTCATTTTATTTGAAAATCTACAAAATGGAGACCTCTTTTAATGTGGACCTTTCAGTGACTCTACAACATGAACCCCCTCCCACACTCCCTCTAACCCATCCTGCATCCGGCGGGTTATACTACCTAAGTCAGTCAGCACCATTTTCAGGTACATTATCCTGGATTAAGCTATAACTCTTTGTTTACCAATGTACATTTATAAATGCCCCACTTGTTTTGCCCGCAATAATTTCTGGGTTCTCCCATTCCTCCACAAAGCTTGTAACCATTGTAAAATATTTCAGGATGATGAGCAGTAGGAGATCAGATAAAATCCACTCCCCGATCTCCTCTTCGAATACTGAATTTGGAAGCAACAAGGATTTCATCACATTGTAATTCAGAGCTGTTATTTCCTGGCTACTGAACCTAGGGTAGCAGCTAATCAAACATGACCTGTACGTAATTAGCTGCAGTGGAGAGCAGGGGAGACATTTGGGGTCTAATAGACCCCTTATGTCTCTATGAAGAAGCCCTGTCACCTGTCTATGATATCACATAGAAAATTGTTAACTACCTTGTGATAGCAATAAACTTAAATTTAAAAGTTTAAAAATTAAATATAATAAAATAAATAAATATCATTTAGAAAAAAAAATTAAATGCCCCCTTCCGCCCTATGAATACCTGAATGCAAATGCTCATGTAGGTCATGCACGTGAAAAATGCATCACACAAGTAAGGTATTGCCGAAGTGTCTAAGTAAGAGCAATAATTTTAGGGCCATAATTCATGGTTAACTCTAAATTAACCACTTCCATGCTGCCCTATAACCGAAATACTGCTACAGGTCGGCACGGGTGCGCAAAATCACGTATATATACCGTATTTTTCACTCCATAAGACGCACCTGACCATAAGACGCGCCTAAGTTTTAAAGGAGAAAAACAAGAAAAAAGTATTCTGAACCAACAGACTGCAGACATAGTACAGGAAGTGACCAGACACTGCGGACACAGTACAGGAGGTGACCAGAGACTGCGGACAGTACAAGAGATGACCAAAGACTGCAGACACAGTACAGGAGATGACCAGAGACTGCAGACATAGTACAGGAGATGACAAGGGACTGCGGACATAGTACAGGAGATGACCAGAGACTGCAGACACAGTACAGGAGATGACCAGAGACTGCAGACACAGTACAGGAGATGACCAGACACTGCAGACATAGTACAGGAGATGACAAGGGACTGCGGACACAGTACATGAGATGACCAGAGACTGCAGGTAGTACAAGAGATGACCAGAGACTGCGGACACAGTACAGGAGATGACCAGAGACTGCAGACAGTACAAGAGATGACCAAAGACTGTGGACACAGTACAGGAGATGACCAGACACTGCGGACACAGTACAGGAGATGACCAGAGATTGCAGACAGTACAAGAGATGACCAAAGACTGCGGAAACAGTACAGGAGAAGGACCAGAGACTGCGGACATAGTACAGGAGATGACCAGAGACTGCGGACACAGTACAGGAGATGGACCAGAGACTGCGGACACAGTACAGGAGATGACCAGAGACTGTGGACACAGTACAGGAGATGACCAGAGACTGTGGACAAATACAGGAGATGACCAGAGACTGCGGACAGAGTACAGGAGATGACCAGAGACTGTTGACACAGTACAGGAGATGACCAGAGACTGCGGGACATAGTACAGGAGATGGACCAGAGACTGCGGACATACTACAGGAGATGACCAGAGACTGCAGACATACTACAGGAGATGACCAGAGACTGCGGACAGTACAGATGACGACCAGAGACTGCAGACAGTACAAGGGATGACCAGAGACTGCAGACAGTACAGGGGATGACCAGAGACTGCAGACAGTACAGGGCATGACCAGAGACTGCGGACCTTTAGGGAGGGAGGGGGAGCGGGTACCTGAATTTGGCAGGTACCCGCTCCCACTTCCGTGGAGTTCTCCTTCCTATACTGTGGGCACTCAACTTTGACAGCCGGGTGCCCACTGCGCATGCGCGACAAGCGCTGCGCTTTGTGAATGGCCCGGCGTCTTTTGGGACCTGTCATGTGTCCTAGAAGACACCGGACCATTCACAAAGCGCAGCGCTTCTCGCGAATGCGCAGTGGGCACCCGGCTGTCACAGATGCCGAGGTGGGAAGAAGCCGGCACAGGACCAAGGAACAGGTGAGTTCCTGCCGCAGAGAACAGTTGAGCAGCCGGCCCGGTATTCTGATATGGTGGCGGCGGAAATACCGTACCGGCCGCTTTATATTCGCTCCATAAGATGCACTGACATTTTCCCCCCTTTTTTTGGGGGAAAAAAGTGCGCTTTATAGAGCGAAAAATACGGTACGTGATTTTTCAGTTCCGGGTAGGGGTTGTGCACGCCATTCACAGCCTCGGTTGTCAATCACCGCATCCCAGGTGGTGATTCCCCGCCGGCACCCAGCGATCTCCAAGAATTACCAAAGGGGGAGAAACCCACGTATAAGCAACACAGATCTCTCCCCTGTCAGCTCCTGCACACTGCTTTGTAAGGCTCTGCATAGCAGAGCCATGCAAAGCAGTGTGCTTACAGTGCAGAACACACATACAGCGAAACAGCACACACAACACACAGTTAATCCTTTGATCACCCCAGATGCTAACCCCTTCCTACCCAGTGCCATTAGTACAGTGTCAGTGTGTTATTAGCACTGATCACTGTATTGGTGTCAGAATGCCCGCTGCAGTCCCGCAGTCCCACTATAAGCCACTGATCACCACCATTACTAGTATAAAAAAAGAAATTCCAGTATATATACTGCCATTTGTAAACGGTATAACTTTCACATAAACCAATTACAGATGTTGAGATTTTTTTAGCAAAGACATGTAGCAGAATACATTTTGATCTATATTTATGACGAATTTTATTTTTTTTTTTTTTTTTTTACTTGACGTGTTTATTGGCAAAAAGTAAAAAATATTGTTTTTTTTTCTCAAAATTGTCAGTCTTTTTTTGTTCATAGCGCAAAAAATAAAAAACACACAGGCAATCAAATACCACCAAAAGAAATCTCTATTTGTGGGAAAAAAAGGATGTAAATTTCATTTGGGTGCAATGTTGCATGACTGTGCAGTTGCCAGTTAAAGTAACGCAGTGACGTATCACAAAAAATGGCCTGGTCAGGAAGGGGAATAAATCCTCAGGAGGGCAAGTGGTTAATGACCTGTAGGAGCTTTTAAAAATATCGCTTCTGGACAATTTTAGATGCCATTTTTGTTTTCACGTGAAAGCATGACATATTCTCTGTCTATTTACTCAATGCAACCTTATCTTTTATATTTTGGTAGAAAAATTTGTATTTAATAATGAGTACCAGAATTAATTTTATTACATTTTTCCCTAAAAAAAATAGCAAATTCCACCCTTTTATTCTGCAGAGCCTTTGCTTTCAGTAAATATATACACTCACGGCCACTTTATTACGTACTCCTGTTCAATTGCTTGGTAACACAAACTGCTAGTCAGTCAATCACATGGCAACAGCTCAATGCATTTAGGCATCTAGACATGGTGAAGACAACTTGATGAAGTTTAAACTGAGTATCAGAATGTGGAAGAAGGGGAATTTAAGTGACTTTCATCGTGGCATGGTTGTTGGTGCCAGACAGGCTGGTCTGAGCATTTCAAAAACTGCTGATCTACTGGTATTTTCACACACAACCATTCCTAGGGTTTACAGAGAATGGTCCAAAAAAGAGAAAGTATTCAGTGAGCTGCAGTTGTGTGGAGAAAAATACCTTGTTGATGTCAGAGGTCAAAGGAAATTGAGCAAACTAGTTCGAGAAGATAGAAAGGCAACAGTAACTTGTGTCAATATGGACCAAAATCTCGGGAATGTTTCCAACACCTTGTTGAATCTATGCCACAAAGACATAAAGCAGTTCTGAAGGCAAAAGGTGGTCCAACCTGGTACTAGGTGTACCTAATAAAGTGGCCTGAGAGTGTAATTGTTGAGTGGTTTAAGATAATTTTTATGTGCAAAAAAAATACATTTGCCCTGGTAGAAAAGTGGTGAAACACATTCACAGTTCAAGTTATATTATGATTCTCATTGCTTTCTTTATGGGAATATAACTGCAATGGTACCAATGAAATTTTACACAAAATATTACCCCAATGTGAATTGCTTCTTCTTCTTCTATATGTTTTAATGCTGACCAGGAATGAGCAGAAAAACATGACACATTTGCAGAATAAATGTTACATTTACAAACACATTCACAGTTCAAGTTATATTATGATTCTTATTGCTTGCTTTATGGTAATATAACTGCAATGGTACCAATGACATTTTATACAAAATATTATACCAGTATGAATTGCTCCTTCTTCTTCTATATGTTTAAATGCTGGCCAGGAATGAGCAGAAAAAAAAACATGACACATTTGCAGAATAAATGTTACATTTCATGCTCCATATGAGGGTCTCTATACAGTGCTAATCTTATTTTCATACTGTCTGTGCTGCTTTTAAGGACAGAAAGTTGCATGTGAATCAAAAGAACCCGCTAGGAGTGACATTTTAGAAAGGCTTGCATAAAAAACTCCTGCTATTGCTTTAGAGGAGGATTTAAGGTGCTTAACACGTCAAGCAGAGAAAAATGAATTTCTGGTGATGACTGGGTGATATAATTCTATTGATTATACTGGGTTACTAGCAAATTGGCAGCAAGATAGATTTCATCCATGACACTTTGATGTAGCACATCAAAGCATCAGTCCCACATGGCAAAATTTGTTGAAGACAAGTTAATAAGAAAGCCTTCATCCACATAAAGACTTGGCCAGTTTGATTGCCTATGTAGTAACTTCAATTTATTGTATATTTTCATATTTATATGTAAGTTATGGAACAGCATACCATTCCCCAGCAGATAAAAAATACATTAAAATGAACCTGTTATTTTTAGTTGACACACATAACCATGACACTTTTTTACAACATTTTACTAAATTTTTCAGAGCTTTCAGCCAATCATGTTCCACCCTGCTCTTAAAGGAGCCTGAAATCTATTGGGGGTTGAGATAGCTGTTGAAGCTTATTAGGTCTAATCTTTTGCTGTTTGTATCACACTAGGGAAATTCACTGGGGTTAATTTACTAAAGGAAAATAGGCTGCAAGGGAATTTTTCCTTAGCTTAATGAATAAGGTGAAGCTCTGGTGACTTCTATCATCCAGTTATGGGCAAGCAAAAAACTATTTTTGGCTTTATTTTCCCAATTTTGGGTAGTCTTTTCACCACATTCACTAAGCTAATGAAACATTATTTAGCAAAATGAACAGCCTATTGACCTTTAGCAACTTAATTGCAGTGTCTCTAATTGTCCTGGTGACCACTATCACTAAAATGCAAACCAAGGGATAGTCCAATTCTGAGTTGTTACCAGAACAGGAATAAAAAGGAAATCATTTTATAAAAACACTCATTTTGGTGCAGCTGTCTAAGAATCTCCCTTCACTTTCCAGAGGTTTCCTCTTACTTCTATTGAGTTTATAGGATTGAAGGAAAAGCTCTTCAATGGAACACAAATGGCATAAATACCTAACATGACTTTTGACCACTCCCTGCTTTAGACTTTACATAGACAATTGTATCTACGGGGTAGATACTAGTAAATAATCCCTTAGCACAATGATTATGCAAAAGTAATACTACCAGTCTCATAAACATACATGATTAGTATACATCAAAGAAAAGCTGTCATAACAGAAATATGGGAGCTGCTATTGATGACCTGTTCCAAAAAAGCTTGTTGCCAGATCTCAATATTTTACAGGCTGCTTACATAAAGAACTACTGATACCTATACTTTTTGCTAATTTGGTTTTTAGAAAAAATGGGAGCCAGGAATCAATATTACAGTAAGGCAAATAGCAAGCTAAGAAGAAGATTGACAATGTCAGCCTCTGTATTTCTCACATGATAGGCTTATTTTTCTAGAAAAAAAGTGTTAGCTTCATGCAGACATGTACAAAAAACTGTAGCATAGTGTATATAATATGTAAAGATAAATGGTGTCTAGATAGAGTTTGAAAGCTCTCTTCCATGTAGGTATGAATGTCAGTGCTGTGCCTTGTGACTTTGGATGGCAGGGCAGTGACAGTCAGTGAAGAAATGAGTTGGTTCTGTCATGGTCAGAGGATAAGTGCATAGGTGCAGTGGTGGTAAGTGGAAGAATGCATGGGCACAGCAGGGGTCAGTGCAGATGCAAATGGGTTTAGCCCTTCTCTATATTAGTGTGAATACAATAGGGCTGTTTTTCTATAGGATTTACATATAAGCACCAATTTGGAAAAACCAGTTTTCCATTGACACAATAAGTCTTGCACGCGCTGAGCTGCCAATGACGCGAGACAAGCTAGTGATGAAGGTGAAAGAGTCTGAACTTCTGCCTCTGCAGCAATACTACTCAGAAAGCATTTATAAATGTCAAAAGTGCATGAGAAAGAACACATATCTGCTCCTGTGGTGCGATGTTATACACTAAACGTTAGTAAATTTTTTTTGTCATGATGGATGTGTGTGGATCATCTGCATGCACTGCAAGGAATGTTGGCTAATTGAAATAGATCTCTGGCATGCCATGTTTTTTATACAGAGAAAGAGAGAGGGGGGAGAGAGAGACAGCATGGGGTTGTTTTTCAGTCAGCAATATACTATATGTACAACATTGTTCATCTAATATTAAAAGAAATGAACATAAATACTGTAAAACCATTTTAATACTTAACCAAAAACAAAACAGAAAGATATTTGGAACTTAGAAACCAATCAAAACAAGTTATTAGGTTCCCAACAGATTTCTCAGAAAACCAATGGGAACGGAATAGTGTATACAGCCTTTCCAAAGATTGAAAGTAAAAGAAAATATGAAATGTTTGAAAAAATGTTATGCTACGTTAGTTCTAAAGAAATCAAGCATGCCCTGAAGACAAAAGTATCAATCCATAAATACAAGTCTTGAGCCTTTCTATCAT